GATTTTCGGCTTGCCTAGTTTCGAGATAGGCGCCATCACGACAGGTTAGAATTTGGGTCGTGATAGTTTGCCAGAAAATTCGTGTCATTTATAATGGTAACATAGCTCACTATTTATAGCTGCACATAGGGGATAAGGTTCTAGGATCATGTCCTTCTTTAATCTCAATTATGAGGGCCATCGAAGAAGGTGTGACGGTGAGTATAAATGACAAATTCTCTGTAACGGACAGTGTACTAAATATTGTGGAATATCCTTCATTAAATGCTATCGGACGAAAGGTATTTATTGCATCTTTATGAACATCATTCTTTTCGGTTACAAACGGAACAGTTGCCTTCGGTCTTAACTATCCTCCGCCTTTGGCTCCACGTATCACTCCTTTAAGCGGCCACCTAGCATAACATATTTTAACATGTACGTTTAAACATTTTGATTTAAAAAATGATAACTCATGATACTTTTCCTATTAAAATCTTTTAAAAATAATTAACATAATTATTTGTTTCCACCTATAGGCTATAGGTCATATGTCTTGGTGGACCCTACCTGAATACGTAATCACTTGTGCACTTATTTTACTTTTTTTTTTACTTTATTTTAAAAAATTAATCAAATTAAAATATTTATGCTAATACTAAAATGTTTTTGAGACGGATTGAATCGTAGATAACGGAGACCAAACAAGATGACAACTTCCGTGTGTGTTACCCCAACGATTTCGTAAAACCATCGCAGAAAGTTTTCTCCTCGTTCCCCTCGCAGCACAGCTTCGTCTTCGCCAAGTCAATTTTCTATACCAATACAGGTTTCAATTTCTTCCTTTTTCTTTGATCACTAGGATAGTTTGTTGAATTTAATTAAGTTTTTTCAGTTGTTTTTAGTATAATAATCTTTATCTTCATAGCAGAAGTAAGGTGAAACTTGTGAATTTTGAACCTTTTTTTTTTCCTGCTTTAATTAGGTTATCTAATGTAAAAGCTTGAGCTCTATTTCTAGTGCCTGTGATCCCAGAAATTATTAGCTCTCTTTATTAGGTTCTTAAAAGCAATTTGTTTCTATTTTGCTTTAATTTGTTTTTTAACGCTGCTTCCCTTTCAGAAATAGACTTATTTTCCCCTCTTTTTAGCTGAATTTAATTTGTATAGCCGACCCCAATTAGTTGGGATCGATTGGTAGTTAATTGATCGATTGATCGCGTTGGGGATTATGCTCGACCATGTTTAATTCATAATTGGTTACTGTCTTACTGATACCAGCTTTAGGTTACTTTTCGAGTAGTTTTATGATTCACTGATTGTACTCTAGACATTTTAGTTATGACATACAGAGTTTGAGGTAAAGCTCAAAGGTGGCCTTCTATAAGAAGTGGTATATAGCTCAAAGTTCGCCGTATATTGAATCCTGGGCTGTGTGAGGGATAGAGTATATAGCTGACATGGATAATCGACATAAATTTAAACCAATATGGAGTGTAAAAGGAGCTTGAAACTGGTAATGGAAGAAAGACTAGAGAAAGGAAAATGTTGAAACTCTAGCTGGTAAGTCAAATTCTTTGGCAATAGCTTTTCCTTGTAATGCCTCCTGATTTCTATGGGAATCTGGTGTGTAGATCTGCTTATTGGTCTTGTTTTTCCTATTATATGCCGAGTTGCAAAGTGGTATTACTTCCTTCTGCAATTGGAAGTGATTGCTATTTATAAACTTCTTCCGCTTCCATCACCTCATCAAGGTACAGTTTAAAAAGTTGATCCGCAAGCGCAATAGTTAGTTTCCATTTCAGGACCGTTATAATGCTTTTGAGCTAGCCAATGTGTACGAGATACTGCTATATACAGATGCTTGACAGCTACTATTGCATTTCGGCCATGGAAGGGCATGCTACGTTGTTTGTAAGGCACTTCTATGTCAATGGTTAAAAACGTTTGAATCGATTATCAGAATCAAGAAGCAAAACCTTATGCCACAAGAGACGGAAACCCTGCCTTGCCTTCTAATTTATTTGCTGAGTCTCTATTCTCATTGTAGTACAGCAATAACAGCACTTGTGAAACTTCTACAAATATTGATTGTCATGAAAATGTTATTTTCCATTATGCAGTTTATAAGTTGGAAATGCTGATTTGACGGTAATTCTGGTTGCACTTTATCCAGTCACGACTGGTGGGTTTGTTGGCAAATATATACTTCACGGTGATGGTCCTGGAGCAGTAGAATTTCTTAGATATCATTTTCAAGCTTCAACATTTGGTGATAACTCTATTCAGAGCCCAGAGTTGTCTAGAGATTGGGAGGTATTTTTTTCTGTGAGGTATAAATTAAACATTATTAAAGTGAAAAAAGTGTCATCTTCATGAAATTAATCTCAACCTTTTGCTCTTCACTATTCCCCTTATTTGAATAGATCCATTAATAGATCGTGGACTTGAAGAAAATTGAAAAATTCTGCATCAATGTTGAACTTGTTTAGTCCCAGGAGGCTACCTTGGATATCTGGTACAGATGGTCAGAAAAAGGTTCTAACTTTTACTTGGTTATCATCTAACCATCTAACTTAGTATTGCCTAGTTAGTCGTTAGCAAGTTCGTGCATTATCAATGTGTAGTGAAGGAACATTGTGTTTATCATGACCTGCAGGTAGTTTTAACTGCTGTAGAAGTAGAATCTCTTCGGTCAGAAATTGCTGCTTTGGAAGAAAGAGAAGCTCATTTAAAAGC